GGTCTACGGCGAGCTGAGTAGGTCGTTCGTAACCAACAGCGGTGTTCGTCAAGGATGCCCTCTTTCACCATTCCTGTTCAATTTCGTCATAGACGAAATACTGGAGAACACACTAAGTGCTCTCCAAAATGTAGGTATTGAATGGTTAGCTGGAGAAAAGCTGTGCGATTTGGAGTACGCTGATGACATCGTTTGCCTGTTCGAATGAATGGAGGATGCACAAACAGCACTTGACAGATTGGCAAGTTCTGTCGCTCCGTTCGGCATGTGCTTTACACCTTCAAAGTACAAAGTGATGATACAAGACTGAGTGTCACCGAGTTCTGTTCTGAAACTAGACGGTCAGAAATCAGCTGAAGTTGACTGCTTCTCGTACTTAGGTAGGNAGATAACCGCCCGCATTTTTAAGGCTCGAGCAGCATACGCAGGACTACAACACCCGTGGCGGCGACGTGACGTGTCACTAAAGTTGAAAGGTCGCGTATACTGCGCCATCGTACGAGTGGTTCTACTTTACAGTTGCGAGACCTTGAATTTGCAGGTAGAAGACACCCGTCGTTTAGCAGCTTTCAACAATCGATGCTTACGTAGTCTGTTCCAGGGTGGATGGAGTCAGCGGGTTAGTAACTTAGAAGTGAGTCGTTGGGTGTTTGGGAATACATCAAACGAGAACTCGCTATCTCATCGGATCCAGCTCAGTAGGCTTCGTTGGTTAGGACACGTTTTGTGTATGTCCGACGGTCGCGTACCACAGCGCGCTTTGTTTGCAGTGGCTGTTACAGGCTGGAGAAAGCCACGTGGAGGCTATCAGATGACGTGGAGACGAGGCATGAAGAAATGCACAGAGCGATTAGGTAGAGTGGGTGTCTCTTGTCTTCCGGGTTGGGGTCCAAAAGACTCCGAAACCGCATCGTTGGAGACACTGAAGGTCATGGCTGCTAACCGACAGCAGTGGCGTTCCCGTTATCATTTCTTATCAGTTCAGAATGCTTGAAACGGTATGTATGCAGGGTTCGATTGTGTACTCTGTGTTGATCATAGAGGTTCACCTGCTTCCCCCTCCTTCAATATAGATCCATTCACTGTCCACCTTGATGCATTGCGAGTCTGGCAGCGATCAGTGAAGTTCGCCTCACTGTATTTCGCTGTACGATGGTGAACTGTGTTGGGATTAAGCGCACGGAAGCTTGGCGAATCCTAAATTTAATCTCGGTCAATGAATGAGTATACGATGGAATTTTTATACATAATCAACAACAAGGCAACTGATTGAGTTGTTCTGTTTGCTTGGTGCTGGTAAGCAGCTTGTTGTATGAGGTAAACTACTCAAATATGTCAAACTTTAAGGGATATAGAAGCCAATTGAAAAGAAACAACTTTGAGAGCTCAAAGCAGATAAGGCCAGATGTGGGTACAAACAAACGGTACGGAAAAGGTCTCTAAGCGAAAAAACTTAGTAAGCCTCGCAATTTTGTGAAGAGTGCGCTGCTTTGATCGGACGAAATCAAAGTTCGATTTCAATAAATATCTAGCTGCCTTACAGATGGGTGTGATAACTGTCATGTTTGCCTTCGTGGTTTTGAATGGATTGGTGAAAATTGTATCAGTCCTGAAGCAATAATATAACATATAAAGGCCTTGGAGGTTTTCTATGGAATTTCGTTTCTGAGCTTTTTTCCCATTTCACTTCCACATAAACCCTGTTGATTTTTTTCCAGTCTCATGATATTGAACTAATCTCTCATTTTCAGTTCACGTTGTTGTAAATTTGATGCGAAGGCAAAGCTACTGGAGTACGCCAGCTGGCATCCAGTTACGGACAAACTAATCTAAGATGATTTTGGATCGGCCTTAGAAAACGGTATTCTCTGATCGAACCACTTCGGATGGATTTTCCTGGTACCGTTTCGCTGGATAGCCTCCCCAACGAGCTACTTCTTGCGGTGTTCTCTTATTTTAATCAATATGAACTATTGACATGTATCTCTAGGTAAGTTGTGAACTTTGAATACAGTGTTGCAAAAATTTCCAGAGTAAATTCCAAATGGTTTAGGCTCGCTCACACGCAATCCCTCTGGTCACATATTGATCTGACCGCTCGTGCTCTCAAACTACCGGCGCTTCGTCGTCTGAGCAAATTTCCTCTCATCGGATCTCATACTCATTCTTTATCTATTCGCTGTATGTTTGAGCATATTTTATCCAACTTATTTTTTAGTTTCTCCTGAGGCCAAACTGTCCGCAAAATCTCTGTCTCTGCTGTTACACAATTGTTCTCAATTGAAACAACTGGAGACAACCGATGCATCCCTGGATTCCTGTGCGGAATTGCTTTCTGTCGTGCCCTCAGGTGTCAGGTCACTCAAGTTGCACAGGGTCCGGTGTAAGAAGCCGTGAGTACAAATGTTCTAATTCAATATACCATTAGTTGACCAATCTTGATTTTTTCGGTTGATGAATCAATTTTTATTCCTGTTCAGCAGTTGTAGGGATTTTTCAAATGCAAGGACTTGTTTTCCCCCCATCTGTGACCGTTGTTATTGGAGTCCGAAGGTTTTTCGTGGGAGATACATTGCGATTTGCATACAGCTCAACGCATGAATGAGTGCTTCCAACGATTGTCTATTTATCTTTAGAATTAACATATATTGTCGGTGCTCAAATACTGTCTGCGCCGCATCGCACTACTATGGTGGAACAAGCAATGCTGTGGTTAGACAGAGTTTTAGGTAATCACGGTCACCCACTGGAGTAAGTGGTCCACCTCACCAGATTACGTTGATTGGGGCATGTGTTACGCATGTCGCCAAATAGGTTGCCACGGCACGTGATGTTTACCGATGCAGGTGTTGAGTGAAAAAGCCAAAGGTGGTCAGAATAAAATCCGGCACGAGGGTATGAAAACCCTAACCAGGAGATTCGATCATATAGGTCGCGGTAAGTTTTGTGGATGAGGACCTCGTCATCATTGTAAGCAATGGTTAGCGGCACAGAGATATGGCTCAGTGTCATCAATGATGGAGGCCGTGCGTCTGAAGTTCGTTGCACCCTTAGACTACTGTAATCTTTCATTTCCTCTTCGATAGTGCTTTCAACTCTTCAATCTTCCATCCCTCCCTTCATTCAAATGAGTAGCCAAAAGACAGCGACCAAACTCGGGGCAAGAAAGTGCATGATTAATGGTTGTTCGAACTGAATCTGACATTTATCCCTCACCTTTGAAAGCTAAATCAGGTGAAATGGCATGGAATAAGATTTTTCTCAAGGGTTTGCTATTCCTGTTCTTCTGTTCATTCAGTTCCGTGTGATGAATAGCTGAAGGAGTAAATCTCATAGCAACGAAGACTTACTGTTCACTCAGAACAACCATCAATTGAACCGCGGAACTTGAGGTGGTGGACCATATAAGGCTCCAGTGAGACAGGTGCGGTATTGAGCCGAATGATATCAAAGCCATCCTCCGCAAAGGTTGGGTTGTGGTGCGGTCGTTGAACCTTGCCAATGATACGTGCGTTTTTGTATGATAAGCCAAAGCGTTGGCTTGAATCTTGTTTTTACTAATATTTTATTTGCTTTGGTTCCAGTTTACGATTAAGAGACTGGCTTTACACTCGTTCATCTGGTCTGATGAGCTTAAACAGTCATGTTGACAGAAAATGTCTTCTGTAGGTTGCCGTTTTGCCGGGAGACTACCAAGTGTTACCAGTCTCGTCATTATTGAAGTTAACTTTACCTATGATGAAGTTTTGTCTTTGTGAGACTCAGAAATGTATATGTATATTTTGTGTCTCTTTTGGGACTCGAACCGCGAACCTTTGTTTTAGGACCGTGGCGACTTTGAATTCACAAGAACAATCCAAGAATACTGTTGACTAGCTAATTCTACCTTTTTTCAACCCACCAAAACACTGTCAACTTACAGTTTGGTAACAATTAAACGAATCTCGATGAATAAAATGCACGTATACGCAAAATGCATTTTACAGTATATGCTGCTTGTCGATTTGAAGAGCTTAATCTAAACATTATACGCCAATTAGTTTATTAATGCTCTTGGAGGTGATGGAGACAGTTGTATCTCTTTTGAAGTTCGAGTGCGATTGGGAACACTAAAGTAAACAAGATTGACAGGATTAAACATGACTCTAAAAGCTGTTTAACGACTCATGTTAATCAACTCTATGAAATCCATGCTACTCGGAAACTTATCCTTGAATAAGAAATATTCCTGATATCATGAATAATTCGCAAACATTCTATTTTGTTTTGAAGGTTTTTCACCATGCTGGCGAACAGCCGTTTGCTGCCTTACCCCTATTTGTATCACTGGAGTTATTAATCTCATATTCAACTTAAGACCTCATCTGCACCCAAAAAACATCAGGCTGTGATTGTGCTTTGTCAAAATCAAGCATTCTCACACTTGGAGTTGGGGACGAACACGTGATCTTCCACTCAGGAAGACAGCTTTTTTCTTTTCACAATGAATTTAAGTTTAGCCTAGGTTCAGCGCTGCATGCAGATACTCTAAAAATGGATGACACATATGATTTGTTCCAGGATTTCAAAATAATAAAATTAGCCTCTCTTTATCGCAAACAAATGGAGGTGCACTAATGCTTTCTGATATTGATTCAGATGAAACTCTCTTTTTTTCTCTCCATATCATTGAACCAATAATGTGATATACAAGTGATGAATTTCTTCGTTTAAAGTTGCCATAACCGTTCCTCTTTTTCCTTTTCGCATCTTTTTCAGTGGACTGCTTGAACTCAGTCAAATTCAGTTGCCCCGTCTAACTTCCTTACGTGTACCACAATGTGCCTGGATCACTGATCCTTATCTTGTATCCTTGATGGAACCCGGTTGGTTGGTTGACTTAGATGTAACCGGCTGCTATCGGCTCTTCGGCGGTTCGCCCCGTTCACTTCGTCTGTATGAACGAATGGATCGGATATGCTTATTGCTCGAGCGTCATTGTCCTTCGTTGCGCCGACTGTCCCTTGCATCAGTACTCACTTTACCACTCGATCGACGAGAGAGCACCTCCACGCGACTAGACCTTTTGAGTTCGATTCCCCAATCTCTACCGCATCTGACCTATTTGGATCTTTCGGATAACCGAACTCTTGTGCAGTTTTTTAATTCATTGTCAAAATCTCAGGGTTTACTAGCTGCTCAGTCATTTTGGGAGGCGTTTTGTTCAGAACCATTCAACACCACCGATTGCTCCAAACCTAAATTGACGCTAGTTCTAGGCCGATGGCCTCCGGAACACGCTATTATATTCGCAGAAGCTGTTCAGGAAATGGCTACTCAGTGTCAATGTCTGCCCACGCTGTGTGTGGATGACCAGTCTCTGGTGCTCGCTTCGTTGTCATTGTCATCCTCCGACCTGGTGGTTCATGTAGAATCTATCATGAACACAAAACGCAAACTTAAACGCTCGGCACTCAATCCGGTGCGACTGGAATCACACACCAAGTGGTCTGGAAGAGTTGAATGATTACGGAACCTGACTGTCGCCGCCTCCTCCCTCTGCCCTACCCCGATCTCTGATTCTGTATTGTACAGTATGGCTATCTTATTTTCTCTGTATACATTGGCTCTATGTGAAGAATGAATTTATTCGCAGCAAGAAAGATAATACGCTTTCGAGTAAAGAGCACGTGTGGCCCATTTGTGTTCGGGTAGCCAGCTAAGATACTCTTTTTTGGAAAGGGGAGAAATCTTGCGATCGATTATAACCCAGGTATTCCAATACATCACAAGCTCGTGAGCAATAAAAAGGATAGATGGTTTAAATGTTCGCCAGGTACTGGTTAACCGATGCCAGGATCAATTAAGACTGGGTAGATTTTCCTTCTGTTCGTGTTGATCAGTCACAAGAGCCAAATCGTAACAAACACAGAACATTTTTATTCTGAGTTAGATGGTGAATGTTTGGATTAGCTCATTCGGTTTTTCGCAGGCACCAGATACTGTTGATGATGTTCGGTATGGGTTTCACTCCTTGGGAAATCGTTAATTCCCCACTATTTGAATACGATGGCAATGTTTGTGATAACCGACAAAGAGCACTGGACAGCTGTTTCGTCGTGTTTGGGACTTGTCAACAGTGCATACTTTTTGTGTCCCTGTCAGGACGAACCGCGAACGTTTGGGCCGGGACTTCAAACCCTGGTGCCTGTGAAAACCCGAATGGGCTGACCCAAACATTCACCATCAAAAATGTTTCTAAAGTAAACTGGGGGCTAGGTTAGGCTCACACTGTGATGTGAGCAGCAAAGACCTGTAGGCAGAATGTGCGCGGTAAAGAGTTCATGGTGATGATTCGACTTGCCCTCTCGTTGGACACGAGCTCATTAAAAGTTACACAACCTTTTGTTAGGTAGAATAATTATCAACCGACCCTGCACAAGTAAAAGTGGTGAATTAATGAAAATGCACTGAGAAGCGTAACCAGTGGGCACATGTATGAGGGGAAACCTATAACGCGAGTGAGCTTACGCGAAACACTAGCCGATACTTTTCGCAACAACTTATTCTCAAATAGACGTGCACTTACGTTTTCATAGAAAGCTTGACTGTTCGTTCAGCGGACGGGAAATGGAATAGTTGTAGTTTAGTATTAAACTAGCTCACTTAGAGACTGGTTGAAACTTGAAAATCGCCAAGATTGGTTTTCCAAGCGGTCATATCCATTCCACCGATGATCTAGGTTGTGGAATCGTTGGCTCGACATCCGATATCGACTCCCTAGGGAAGATACAACTCGAACAACGAAATTGACCTATTTTCTGATATATGCAATGAGATAATCGGACAGGGGACGAAACTGCCCCAATTGTGACAGTCTTTTATAGATTTACCTAGATATGGCTGCTCTGTCAAGCAAATTGCTTATGAATACTTGAAACTTTATGAGTTTGTCATCCAGTAGCAAAATAACTGCCATACATTCCACATCAGAGATTATCCCTTATGAACACAGTGCCGGTGATAATGGACGAATATTTGGTAGTGTCCAAATTCGATCCCCATATGATGTTGGGTGAAGGAAAATCATACCGTCCGTTATACACCACGGTGAACTATTAACTGAAATGTGATCATCTACCCGGACTCTGCTATTTTGGTACAACTGAGGGGAATTTCAATTGCTGCTCACCGAGTTCAGGATCACTTTCCAATCAAGGAAACCCGAGGCTATAAATCTCCGAGAAGTGTGTCATTTTAAGCACAGTGGAAAGCAAAATATGGTCTGGATCATGCCTACTTCTAACAAATACACAGCTCTTGACCGGTACGCAGTTGTTAACAGTTTTTCTACCTTATCTCCTCAGCGCTCTTCTCGTTTAGTCTTGTTTCCTCATATATTTACTGCATACATAAACAATATGTGTATGTATGCATACATTTGACACAAGTTATTCATTTGCAACACCGGGTAGGTTTGTTTAGACAGCGCCTTCAGCCCAGTCTAGTTGATTCAAGATAAGAGCTCATTGGTCGCCTTGATATGAAATCGTTTAGCTCTCTAACCGGCATCATAGGGGAGAATTTGATTACGTCTTCACGAACTGATAACCATGTGTATGTAAATCGGTACGATGACCGATTCGCATCAATTCCTTTCGAGTTTCATACACTCTAAAACTCAGTACACGGGTTTGATGAATACAGGGTCGTTGAAATGGAACGTTTAGCAACCATCCAATGCAGCACGAACTGAGGTATCCGAAAATGACGCACTGCACTCCAATTCAGATTGAAAATTAGTGGCCACTTGTATTTGAAGTGTTGCTCCGAATTTTCATCCGACGCGATCTTCGAAAAATTCTGTGTAAAAAAACCTTTCTTCTACCCCGTCCGTTTCCGCAGACGACAGTTCTGTAATTGAATCCATGTTCCTCGCTGTCATAAGTTCAAGTCCGCAACGTTCATAAATTCGGAAAGATCAGCGACAGAATGATCTTCGGTTTGCATTGCACTCTTTGGCAGTCATTTGATTGACCGCTTTTCTTTTCCTGAATGCCGGTTGTGCATTTGTCTGTTCGATAAAAAAAAACTAGAGCACACGATGTACCTATTCGGAATCTCAGTTTTGCTACTGAATAAACAACCAGTAGTGGAGACTCGCGGATAGTCCTTTTAGGCTATTGGGTTGCTTCAACCTCTCATGATACAGCAGTCAACGTGACGTTTCCCGCCCGTGAATTTTGTGCATTGATTAGCTGCGCACAAGGTGAATCGGCCTAAACACGCATCGCACTCAACCACTGTATCACGGTCAGCAGCGTTGAATCTGGAAGGATTGAGGTCCCCAAAGTAGTTGAATTTTTGTGCCTTTCGCAAAATCTTACGTGATTCCCATATATGAAAATAATACTTGAGCCTAAGCGAAGTTAAATAACATTTTGAACCTTTTCGTTATCAAATAGTTTGCTACCGTTTTGAAAGATTCCATTTGTGTTTTCGTTGTTGAACTCGATCAAATTAAGTGCACTGTGTAATACGAACGTGCTCTGGGCTTTTTTAGCGCAGTGGGTTCGACAAAAGTCAGCGGCAAGATGTCTCCCGGTTCATGGTTGGCAGTTTGAGGGTGAAGGGACGACAAGGACATGAGATTCCGCAGATAGGTCATGCGTGCGCGGAGATGTATACTAGATCTGCCAGACAAAAGAGACAATAGTCCATGACCGCGAAAGGTTCAGTGAGATGCACATTCTCAGGCTAGGATATTACGAACTCGGGATACCAAGCCTTAGGACTGCACCCATTTGAGTATGGAGCCACTTCGGATGGAGCTAACTAGTTTGCATCGTGGTTGAAGTCACACTGGTCGGTCTGATCGATAGTGGGGCTAAAACCACTGAACCCATTCTGTGCCAGCCAAACATGCGCGGGAAGTTGATTGCACGTGGTCACGTGAGAACTTGTCGGTGCGCTTGGCATGAGCTTGGTTAAACGACTTCCAATACATGGCGCAAGTGGGTTTGCTGACACTATTACATAGGTACACACATGGGTCCATGGAACAGCGAGACTGCTTGCAGATTTATTGATGCGATAGAGCTGAGTTGAAGAGACCCAAAAACCTGCATTCACTAATTCCTACATAAAGTGGCCTGAAGTATTTCTGACTGGCCAGTCAGCAGCGTTCCTCGAGGCACTCTGGACAAGCTTCACACGGGGAGGTATGCAGCAGCTGCTTTTGACACAACGGTTCTCAGTTCTGTGCACTGGATTTCAAAATCTGTGGACATTAACAAGGTATTCTCGATTAAAAGGTGCAGCTGATAATTCAGTAAGAACAGTAAAAGCACAGTAATATCTGCAAATGAACAATTAATTCTGGCCCTGGGGGCGTTTTCTGATAATATACATAGATCACAGCGACTTGACGCACTACAGAAAAAACGATCTCAGCCTTTGTTTAATGGATCATCACCAGAACAATTTGTGTTAGTCAATAATGGGAATCACCAAATTAACGAATGCAACAATACATCGAATCCGGTTCAGCGACAAAACGAAATGTAAATGTATCTGAATTATACAAGAAAGTGAGCAACCAGAACACGCCCAAACTGCTGAAGGTTGACACGAAAATTACTGGGTATTAGTCATGATAACATGGTTCTATTACTACTGACAGGATCAAGTCTCGATGAATGCTACGCTAAGGAGATCAGGTGAAACGGGACAGGACAATCCCGTGGGAGAAAAGTTGCGGCGTGGAAGCAAGATCCCATGTCACTACAAAGCAGAGCATGGTGATTCCAATCGACCTGGTACAGCCATGCACATGAGATGCGATTGACTGATTGTTGGGAAGCCAACTTGAGGACCATACCGACAGTAGTTGGATAAGCAAGAAAAGTCAATGGTTCTTTGAGATATGTGATGTTTATTTTTATGCCTGTCATCATAGGGTTACCTGCATTCACACCGGGGTTCGATTTGACCGGAATGCGTGTTCTTCAGTGGGTCTGTAGTCTGAAACCACATTATTTAAAAACGAGTGTTCGTCCGATTACCACAGATATCTTTTTTTTCAATCATTTGTACCTCGTTTAATCGAATCCCTTGGGAAAGTTAAACTGGACTGGGTAATACAGATTTGATAAAAGCGGCCCAAAATGAAACCAAGTTATTTGAATCGACCATTCACAGAATAATTCAAGGCGGAAATTCAAAAGTTTTGAGAAACGAAATGGTATAAATAGTTCATGAGATACAACTGTACCACTGTATATATATATATATATATATATATATATATGTACCTCTGTATATGATGCCAAAGATTCCACATATAGGTAGTCTAATATAGATGATTGGAAAATGGACAAGTCAATAAACGCCAGATGCACCCCCCAGGGTGAACATTCCGCGGTTTAGGGACTTGTACAGAGGAGATATAAAAGAAATTGCGATCAAGAAAAACTGAACAGAAATCGGATTCCATACCGTTGTGTTCCGTGGAAGTAAATAAATATG